AAGGAGAAGAAGCATAGAGTCTATAATCTTGGTTCACTAGTGTCCTAGCATTACTCCTATTCGGCTCCAACTCATCCACTACCACATTGTGGTTCCTTAGTCGTATGCAACGGGATAGTGAGCAAGGCCAACGAAGCTAGAGGATATAGAGCGTGATCGTACACAATAGATCCAAAGGTGGAGAACACACACCAAGCGGAATAATAGGTTTTCCGAGTAAGAAATGTACAAATTGGAATGGTTGTTACAAGAGACACTCACTCGTGTCCATCCTCCTAACCCCCCCAAGCGTTGGCCTTCCCTCCCGATACCCAACATCCGAAAGATGATGTAACAAATGATGATGTTGAGGGACTAGTTTTTTCTTTTTTCTTTTTTTCTTTTTATAATGTGTTCGTACACCGAGTTGTATTGATGTATATATTTTGATTTGATTTATATTATTTTAATTTTATTCAATAAAATTTTGTGTTATAATATTATTTTTAGTTCTTTACTACTACGAAGGAACATTTAAATGCCTATTAAAATAATAAAAAAAATTCTTTTATTTAGCAACGGATCAATGACCAACTAATGAAAAACGAAATCACTCACCGATGGGAATTAGTGATGAAAAAAATCACATTAAAGTATGAAATGTTAATTGGTAAATTGTTTTGTTTTAGTGTTCAATCGGTAAATTTTTACATTCCAATGCCTAAATTTTGATATTTTTTTTTTATCCGAATGTCCATAACCACATGAAAGTATGAAATGTTAACGTATCCAATAGGTGGAAATTAAAAATAAAACTATATTTAGTTCCAAGTTCAAGCAAATTAGTCTATTATATTAAATACTTTTTCCTTTAAATGATTTTATTTTTTGGTTGATTTTGATGACTTCATTAATATAAAAACCAAATTGGTAAGATGAACATTAAAATCGAAAAAATAAATTAGCGATTAGCAAGAAGATTATAGTAAGAAAAGGAAATCGAAAATAAGATTAGCTTAATTTCATCAAACTTTACGGTAACGTAGGATCACAAATTCTTATTTAATTTCATAGCATATATGATCTAACAATCTTACACACCCCACCCACCCCCGGGCGAGCGCGCGTTCAAGATAACTGAATGCGTTTCCGTTTTTTCAGAAGAAATTTTTATTTAATTTCATAGCATATATGATCTAATAATCTTATATACCTTTCCTGCACTTAAATTCTTACATTACATATATTTAAAACCCTAAATTCTACCTATTATATTGTAGTGACTTGCTGTCTAAAATATTTTCATTTTTATTAAGGAATTTTTTTTTAAAAAAGAAATGCTATTGAATTTAAATAAAATAAACTATATAGTCATAAAGGAAACTTTATCATTTTAACGAAAAAAAAATAAGTAAAGAAATTAAATGAAAAAATACAAAATTTTGGGCCAAGGGATGCCAGCTCGTACACTTGGGCCTGACAATGGAGGCCAACGTAAGCCTGAGAAAGGCTTAGCCCAGCTATTGAGAGAGAAAATGAAAAAAAAAAAAAAAAAAAAAAAAAAAAAAAAAAAAACCAGTAAAGACCCGTCGTACTCACAGAAAACGCGTCACTCGCTTTCATCGTTGTCGGGGCGACAACCCGCCACTGCCCTGAAAGTCATTCTTACCATTTTGGTCACTTAAAAAATGATTGGTATAACCTGTAAAAAATTATTTTTAATCTCAAAATTCATTTCAATACACAATCGATCATTAATAAACTCTTGATATCCAAACTCCATCGGATGACCCAAAACATTGGAACAACCACAGTCTAAATGATGGATTTGGACCACTTTGTGTCTCCTACTCTCTCTCTCTCTCTCTCTCTCTTTCTTGTTCTTCTCCTCTTTTCTTCATGGCAGGGGCTAAAACGTACCTAGCCAAAATAAAGGTACCAAGGTGTAAAATAGGATTAAATTACCTCCAAGTACCGGGCCTTTAAGTTTACATTAACTGTTGCAAATGAAGCTTATTGGTTTCATTAACAAACTTGAACTCCAGCCAAAAGATTACTCGTGCCTTCCATACATCCTATATGAGGTAACCACATCATTTTCCTTTCTATTTCTACAATTATGTCAAACATTTTTGTTATACATTACCTGATAAAATACTAAGTTTTAACTTAGAAATAAAAAGGATTCTGATCTGCCTTATTAACAAATTCCTTCTCCTTCCAACCTGTATTAATGGTGAAGTTTCAGGATAATGTAAATGCATCACGATTTATTTACAATTGATCTCAATCTGGTTGAATTCGCGAAATTTGATGAACATATGATAAATTTCTTGATGAAATTATCTTTATAATAGCTGGTGGTTTGCCGAATTGACACAAGTGCTCAATTACAATTGGGGTTAATTTTTTTTTTTTTAATAACACAACTTTATTTATTATTTTATCTTCTCTTTTACACTTGTTTTTTTGCTCAATTTCATTGTCACGGGCCAAAGTCCGCTAATGTAGTCCGATAATATGACTTTTGTTTTTAATTATTTTTTTATTCGTGATGTAAATGAAATTTGATTTTTTATTATTTCCTATTTTTCCAAGTAATTCTGACCTTCCTAAGAACCCCAAAGAAAATCTTCCATTTTCCGTAAGCCAGACCAGTGAAATAGGTAGCCCAAAATCACCCCACCTACAATGAATGAGCATTCTGATAAAGCAAAATAAAATATGATGTAAAGTAATGGAAAGAAAAAATAATTGTTAGATAACACTAAACATTTTTTAGACTATTCCATTGTCCATATATATGACAATAATTAAACGGTTTAACGAAAAAATTACCCTCAAACTATTATGATTTGATAATTTTAGGCATTACTATCAATTTTGGTTAATTGAGTTCCAAGCTATTAAGTCTTTTTTTTTTTTTTTTTTACAACTATGATCCTTATCTGTTATCTTTAACAATCAAATGGTTGATTGTCAATAGCTAGTCATTTGATTGTTAATATTTTAGTTTTTTTTTTCAAATAGTTAATTTAATAAAAATATGATCTAAATAAAATTATTCGAGTGGTTGTTCGTTAGATTTCAAAATTATAATACTCATAAAAAAAAAGTATAGATTATCAAATAAAAAAATAAAAAAACATATATTTAAATATAAAAAAGTACAATCCCTCGGTTAGAAATAAAATAAAATGTTCAATCTCATCTAGTGAACAAGTCAATATGTTGATGTGTCAATTTAATAATTATGTCGGTATAAATTTAACAAAAATACTTAATTTGGAACAAAATTACATTAACGACAATCTAGTTAATACTAGATTTAAATATTCCAATTTATTTTTAATCTAGTTAATTTAATGGAATAATTAATTTGGAAAAAAATAAAAAAAAATTACATTAACGACAATCTAGTTAATACTAGATTTAAATATTCCAATTTATTTTTAATCTAGTTAATTTAATGGTTGTCTTAGTATGAATTTAATATAAATACTTGATTAGAAAAAAAATTAAAGATTTATATGAACAATAATGTAGTTGATACTAGATTTAAATATTTTATTATATTTTTAATTTAGTCAATTTAATGGTTATGTAGAATGAATTTAATAAAAATATTCAATTATAAAAAAATTTGTACTTTTAATTTTTTATTTAAATATATAGTTTTATTTTTTCTATTTGATTATGTGTACTTTCAATCTTTTTTTCTTGATGTGTTATTAATTTTGAAATCTAATGAATAATGAATATACATTCCTATGTAGATCATATTTTTTACAAAGTTAATTAAATTAAAAAAATAAGATGTTTCAATCATATTTATCATATTTAAAATGACGGATAAATATCATATTTATCAAAAAAAAAAAAAATTAGTTTCAATCAACACAAATTGTTAGTAAAGAACAAAAATTACAAAATCGTAATTGTTTGGAGATAATTATTGTCATTAAACCGACAATTAACATTTGTTGCACATCAACCTGATCGTTTTCCTTGCCACTTGTTGAGGTTAAAAAGGTTCATTTTCCGTTTGATGAATCTAGCAGGCTGCTTATTGGGCCAAAGAATTAATGTTGAAATTATAGATCAAGCTGGAATATTGTATCAATATTTTTGCAGGAGGTCCTTGCACTACGTTGAAATAATTGTAGCCTAATATGTCATATATTTTTATTTATTTTTGAATTTTGTAATAGAAGAGCATGTCATAGAAATTTGTTATACATTATGTGATAAAATAGTAAATTTGAACTTAGAATTAAAAACTTCAATGCTAACTTACTAACTCATCCTTCAGTTCATGTGAGCCCTAGCTATGTCTATGTCATTGTACACTTCCAGTTTGACAATGCTTGTACTGTCACGCTGGCTTAGGATTGTCCCCCTCCAAGGTTTCTCTGAATTTGAGAATTATTAAAAGAAGAATTAGGCATTGGATATATTTTAGGAAAATAAAACTTCTAGTAAAGAGAATCAAATGAAAGATTTTCATAAAAATTCTTGTACAATAAAAATGAAGTTTTCATGCTATACATGCTAGATCATAAATTAGTAACGGCATCCAATCTTCTATAAAATTCCAATTATTTCATTTTTATTTTTTTAGAATAGAATATTTACTGAATCCTCATAAATAAGATCAAATCTTATTCCTTGATATTCAATAAATAAATAAAATTAAAGACTAATGAAGTTTGCATAACACCAAAGATAACATGAAAAAAAAAAATCCAAAACAAATAAATATGGTTAAGCACGAACAATTTCGTTTTAAGTTTCAATAAAAGTTCGATAACATGAATATATATATATATATATATATATATATATATATATATATATATATATATTAAAAAAAAAAGGTAGCAGTAGGAAAAACAAATCTATACATGGATAAATTACAAGTAGAAATTTCCATCCCAATTGAAACTTGAAAACAAATCTCATGTGTTGGCATTCTGCCTTGATCAGAACCTGTTCTACCTAGACAAAAAATGCTTGCTTGTCTAGGGTATGCTGCTCTTCCTGCTAGTAATGTTATCAATTGAGACATACTTGCGCCATAACCAATGTTTTTCCCACACTTGATTCATTTCTTCAATTGGGATATTCTTGGTCTCAGGCACAAAAGAGCATACAAAAATAGTCATGAGAACAACAAATCCGGCAAAGAATAAGAAGAGACCAAACTTCAAATGACAAAGCATAGAAAGGAAGAATTGGCCAATCACAAAGGTGAAGAACATGTTAACCGAGACATTGGTCGCTTGTCCTGCTGACCGGATCTCCAGAGGGCAAATTTCACTAGGCACTAGCCATCCCAATGGACCCCAAGACCATGCGAAAGCTGCTACATATGCACATATCAAAAATAGCACGAAGGAGGATAAACTTTTAGACATTTCTCCCACTCCTTGTGTCCCAAAAGCACGCCCTATCATGATTGCAATAATAACCTGTTGGCGAAGTGAAGCTCAAAGTTAACATAATAAATCCGCATTTATAGACAAGTGCAGAGATTGCATACTAGTAATTTAATTTTTTTTAAGGTTGCCGTATACCTGACATATAATCATTTGCAAGCCACCTTCAAGAAACAAGGCCTTCCTTCCTACCTTATCAACTGAATAAACGGAAACAGCAGTGGCCACAACATTGACTACGCCCGTAATGACAGCAGAAACAAGTGAGGCACCATCACCAAAACCTAGAGTCTTAAAGAGAACAGGTGCATAAAACATGATTACATTAATTCCTGTAAGTTGTTGGAAGAAAGGAATGAAGGTGCAAATGGTAAGTTGAGGTCTATGTTTTGGGTGGGCGAAGTTCTTCCATGGGTGTTCAATTTTCTTTGCAGCCTCACTAGCATCAACAAGATCTTGAAACTCCTTGTCGACGTTATTCGAGCCTCGAATTTTTCGCAACATTTTCTTCGCCTTCTCGTAGTTGCCTCTCTCAAGAATGGAATTGGGGGTATCAGGCAGAAAGAGAGATCCAATAGTAAAAAAAATTGCCGGGGCTGCTGCAAGGCCTAAGGAAACTCTCCATCCCCATCCGGCTTCTATCTTGGAAGTTAAATAATTGATGAGATTGGCAGCCAAAACACCGATTGTGATTGCCATTTGAAATCCAATATTGAGTGCTCCTCTAAATTTTTCCGGTGCCATTTCAGATAGATAAACCGGAACAGACTGTCAAATATTAGAGAAAAATTACATCACTCCAAACACATGCTCATTACAAGATTTATCTTTTTTATTTATTTATTATTATTTTTTTTTGTTTAAAAGAGGAAAAAATATGCATATATGATACCTGATTAGCAAATCCAACACCCACACCAAGCATCAAACGACCAATAATAAGCATTGCAACATTGATAGCAGCACCATTTATTATAGCTCCTCCGAGAAAAACCAAGCCTCCAAACAGCATAGACATCTTTCGGCCAAACCTCCTGGTTATTGCAGAAGCAATGAAGGAAGATATCAAGGCCGCGAGATAGAGTGAAGATGTGAACAATGTTAGCACATGATCATCAAATTTGCAGTACATATTATCCTTGTGATTTCCATTCTCTTTATTGTACACTCTGGGGAAAAACGTTTTCAGAAATGAATCCATTGATGTTACCCCTCCTAAAAATTTTTTACAAAACCAACCATCATTATCAAATTAACACAACATATATACACTTTATCAAAATTATTTTTAATACATCTTTTGCTCACCTGATATACCAATATCATACCCAAACATGAGGCCCCCCATGGCTGCCACCAAACAAGCGATGACCACAAAAGCAGTGACACCACCTTCATAGTTTCTCCCATCACTTTGACCCCCCAAACCTCCTCCTGCCATATTTTAAAAAAACAAAAGCAATACCTCAAAATATTGAATAATAGATAAATTCTTGCTGTGTCTCTCTTGTTTATGCTATTTGTCATGAACTGTAAAATATATTTCTCTATCCCGCATAACATAAAGGATAACTTTCGGGAAATCATTCCAATTAAGGCTAGCAGACGTGGGTCGTAATTTGACAACTATACTTACCAAATTTGATTCAATCTTGTATTATATGTGTTATATTTCAAATTGGATGATGATATACATGAAATTTGTATAGAAATTGTGATGTTTTTTACTATTGAGATGAGAGTAATTAATGCTGGCAATTGGATAATACATAACAAATATTCCAAAATTATATAAATATATGATTAATGTTATCTGGTATAGACAAATATAATGAGTACTGCTAATTTCTATACAATATTAATTAAATAGGGTGGAAATTTAATCTTTGTTCTTAATGGTAATGGAGTTAGAATGTTGCACTTATCCATTCATGCATGTGGTACACATAGGATATGATGGTAATTAAAATGATAGAGGTAATTGTGATAATGTTGGATAAAGAAAAGGAGTATGAGAAGGTGGTTGTAGTAGTAATAGTAGTATAGTAATAGGAATAATATATTTTTTAAAAAATTGATATCACTACCATAGGAGGTGATAGTGAAAAGAGAGTGGTGGTGATATAATAAAAGCGATGGTAATGATGGTGGAGGAGTGATCATAAAATAATAATAATAATAATAATAATTTCGATTTTTTTCTTTATCATCATTGGTAATCATAGTGGTGGTGGAGGTTAAAGTGAAGGTGATGATAGTGGTAGAAGGAGTTGATACACAATAAATAAAGATAATGTATTTTTATTTTGAAGAAAAATTCATTCTCATTCTTTATTTTTATTCTCACCTATCCATATGCAAATAAAATTACATCTAATTTTCATTTCTATTTTTATTTTTCATTCCCATTATCATTTTATTCTTTCAACCAAACATCTTTAAAGTGGAAATAAAATTTTTATTTCCATTTCTTCCATTCAATTCCTTGTTATCAAACAACACCTAAGTATTTTTATTGTTGTTATTGTGTTTTTTTAAATAAAAAAGAAGTTTGAGACCGTAAAAAAAAAAATTAATATCAATTAAACAATAATTCATTGGCAACAAATATGTGAGTTAAATCAATATTTTCTTACTAGATCTTGTTTTTACTTATCTTTTTCTAATTGTTATTTTTTTCTCTTGATATATTTTTCTTTCATACATATATCGACCCATTGAGTTCAAGGAAGTTGAGGCAAGTCCTTCTTTCTTCTACTAGTTCGGTTGGGCTCTTACTTCTTGGCTTCAAGAATCCTCTTTTCTACTTCTTTGTCGACTTAACAAAGGCAAGGGATATTGAAACTAAGACTCATTCCATCTATTGCTCTAACGCCCTTCCTCGGATAAAAGAAATTAAAGAAAAGCTAACAAAAAACAAGAGGAAAAGAAAAAGGTTTACAAATGAGATGAGTCTGTAACAAGAATAAGTATTTCTTACAATAATAATAATAATATATAATAGGGAAAAAGGAATATATTTAGTTTTAGGATTTGTTTTCCTTTTCCATTTTTAGATTTCCAAAAAAAGGAAAGTAGCAACAAAAAGAAGAAAATAAATAAATAAAAAATTATGAATTAAATTTCAACCTTTCATTTGTTTTTAAAGACTTAGATCAAGCAAACATAACACAATACACACACATACACACACACACACACACACACACACATACACACACACACACAGATATATATATATATATATATATATTATGTTCTTGTAACATCTCCGACTTAAGACCTAGATAGATCGAGGATATCATTGACTTGCATTTTGTGTGCAATGAATACAAGTCAAGTAGCCTCCTCTCTTAACATTTTAGTTCATTTGCAAAGTGAGAAATTCACACATGAGGTCCCCAACTAGTATGAGATGCTACGTCCGCCTTATGAATAACTTATGAATAAACTTTTTCAAAATTCTACAAAGCCCTTAATAAATTCACTTAGACTTTTAACTAATATTTTTGGCCATTTAAAACATCTTTGGGCTTAAGGAACTTTGGTTCTTACTTTATTTAAAGCTAACCCTTGTTAATTCCTTACCTAACTTTTTATCTTTAATTCATAGTTGTTAGGCTAGATAAACCATTTAAACCTTAACTTTATTATGCCTTTAATTCATTCATTTCCATAATCTACTACTTCAATTTAACTATATTAATTAACAATCTTTAACATAACATTTCATTTAATATCAAAGCCATATGTTCATTATTACAAAAAAAATATTTACTTAACCGATTATCAAACCAAAAATTACCTAACTTACTAACTTATACATATGCATGCAACCAAAAACAAGTCAAGCAAAAGTAAGGTTCTCATACTCTTTCACCCAAGGCACATAAACGACAAGTCTTTTGCATATCCAGGCGGAGATTCTTCAATCATCTTTCTTCTCTCCTACACCATGAGAAACAAAGGTGAGCAATGCAATATATGTGATCCACATGATGCAACTTTTATAAAAACATTTTCATACCTTTTAAAATTTATTTTTCTCTTTGGTAGCATCCTGTTGATTATGTATGTAATCGGCCCTCTATAAAAACATGCAATTGTGAAAAATCACAAAAGCAATAGGTACCTATAACTTCAACATGTAATGTGTGCCCATTTTCCTGAAAAGAGGATGATCATTCCTCTCCCATAAATTTTAAGAAGATACCAAGTCATTTCTTTTGAAAACTTTTCCTTTTGCTTTTTCTTTCATCAAAATTATGAGTGTAAAACCTCTTTTATGATTATGATGTGCATATGTATTTAAATAAAATACAATGTCATAAATATAACCCTCAAAATGCATACCTTTAAATCCTTAAGAACATGTAATATACGTAACACATCAAATACATGCTTCAAACAATCAACTATGCATGCCATACATAAATACACCATGAGCACACAATGAAAATTGATAACATCTTCTAGCATACCATGGCCAAATATGATAAGCAACATAATTAAACATTTTTTTTCACATGGATAAGCAACATAACCTCTTTGACTTTTATTTTCCATACTTGGTCGAAAAATAGGCCAAGGGAGGGATAACATTCATTTCATTCATTTAACTCAAAATTTTACCTTAACCTGTTAGTTTAACATATTCTTCATCATTTTAACTTCAAATAGGTTCCCTCTACTAATTAATCAAAACCTTTTACTTAGCCAAAATTGATCACAAGGTGACCAAGTTTCAATTCCATCAATTTAACCTCTTGAACATCTCTAAGACATTTCATCAAATAATATATGGGCTCTAAATAATAGAACCACTAATTTATACATGTTTAAGGTTATCAATCCACATAGTTCTTGAAACAAAGACAACACTAATTCACATGATTTCATTCAATTTAATCATTCTAACTTTACAATTTCCATATCATTAATACATATACATCATCAATTTATTCCAATTCAATCATCACAAGGCAATTCTCAATAACACATTCATTAAACCTCAATCAAATAGACTTTAAATTAACACAAATCACATATTAACCCATCAATTTTCTTATAGTATAGTAAGGAGGTACACTTACCTCACTTAGAGCTTGGTCTCTCTTTCTCTTTTCTTCATTGGTTCTCTCTTCCTCTTATTCTCTAAACATTTTGGCCAAGATAAGGAATTTTTCTTTCTTCTTGCTTGATCCTCTAAGCTAGTTTGGAGTTTGATTTACAATGTTTTTAGACTAACTAAGATGTTTTTGGAATTGGTGGTTGGTTGGTTTCCTCTCATTTAAGTCTAATTGGAAGCTTTAGTTGTGTAACCTTTCCTTTTTCTTCCTCCTCCATATTTATAGATGGGGCTTTTCCTTAAGATCAAGCCAAATGTATCACACTTGGATTAATCTTGAGCTTACTCTTAAATTGCACCTTCATTTTTCTTCTTCTTCCTTATCTTTCTTTCTCCTTTTTTCTATAGATATTTTCTCTTATTTCTTTCCTCTTTAACAGACTTTCTTCCTTTCCTTCTCTCTAAAATTTCCAAATTTCTCTAGTTAGAATTTTTCTTTAAGTTTAATTAATAGGCCCCTTATAAGATTAGCACTTTACACTTTAGTCCTTAAACTTTTAATCCTTATAATTCGACTTTATAATATCGATCCGTAACTTTATAAGTTCCATCAATTTGGTCATATCCCAAAGATAATTTTAGTCCTTAAAGTTTCTTAATCATTTTAATTAAGAACCTAAACTTTAATCTTTGTGATTAAGCCCCTTATGTTAAAACATAACCATAACGATTAATGTTACTAATTTTTAATTCAATCTTTCCTTATTCTATTTTAATACTTCTTTTCAATCATAATTGTTTTAAATTTATCCTTAATTAAAATGTAAACTTCATTCACACATTTAAGAAGTATTTTTTTATTAATTAACCAAAATGTCTATATAATAAATTAACATTCTAGAAGGGTTTTAGGTCACGAATATTTCGTCTTCATCTCTTTCCTTTGTTCCGAAGTGGCTTCCTCTATGTTATGGTTTCTCCATAACATTTTTATAAAAGGAATTTATTTTTTTCATAATTGTTTCATCTCTCGATTTAGGATTTAAACGGACCTTTCTTGAGAGCTTAGATTAGGTTAGGTCTTCCATGTATTTTCGTAACATCGATACATAAAATACGTTATATAATGAGGAAAGAAATGGAGATAGAGCTAATCTATATGTGGATCTCCAATCTTCTCTAACACTTCAAATGGTTCAACATATCTTGGACTCAATTTTCCTTTCTTATCAAACCTTATTACCTTTTTCATCGGTGCCACTCTTAGGAACACTTTATCACCGACCTCAAATTCTAAATCTTTTCTCCGAACATCAACATAAGTCTTCTACCTACTTTGATATATCTTCATTCTTACTTTGATTTGCTTAACC